CCTTATTATATGAAGTTGCAAATATGTATTATTTATCTACTAGTACCTGAGTCGTAAACCGCTAATGACGAGGAGAATGAGACTCATGGAAGCAGAAAACGACACCGTACTGCTAATAACCATCCCTAGATAGAGTCCACGCTTCGAACTCTCGTGCTCCAATACCGCTGTTCCGGCTTTTGCCTTACAAACCGGACCCGTACTGGTTTGATTTCCGGAGGTACAATTGTCACTTTGCCAGACGCCACCTGGAGGATTAACCATAACTTGAAAGCTCATACCGGCTATAACCGTTGCTGCAACCATAAGATTTCCTCTGGTTTTCTCTAACCAATCGCCTTGGCGATTTAAGTACTTTACAAACCACTCCGATGATTCTTCGTATTGATCATCTTCTCGACCGTTGACTTCCATGATTCTAAACGATCGATGTATATATCTCACACAGAGTTGTTCCTTACTTTTCTATAATGTGTAAGTTTTTATATTTGTTCGTCGAGATTATAAAGGAAAAAAGGATGAGATTAGTGTTTTTATATTGAAATTTCTGTCTTGGATCAATAAAAGTCTTTGTTTGAAACTATTTTTATGTTGATTACGGGATTTAAAAACCAACATTTGTCAATTTTTTTGATCGAGTCAACGATAATGATATTAGGGATTAAAGCGTCATCATTCGTTTTTTTGTTTTGTTTAGAAACAGAGTTATAGGTTTTCAGGTTTAGAATACTAATCGTACGACATCAAATCTGACTTTGTTTCTGTTCTCTCAACGGTCTTTACTTTCACAGTACTACATACATTACGGTAATGTGAATGCTTTGGACATATATTGGATTTGGTTTAATTATTAGTCTAGACACTACAAAAAAACATGTCAAATTTGGATCGAATTTTTGACCTACAAATTGGTCAAATTTCTGATTGACAAATTTATGATGAAAAAGGAACACTCGTTGATCAAACACGTAATGTTTAGTATGCGAAAAAAATAAAATCCTACCAACCATGGTGATCATGTGATTGAATATTCCTTCTAATAATCAAAAGCAAACTCTCTTTTATTTTAAGG